CCAGTATTTATCCCTAGAGCACAAATGGACTTCGGGAGCCCAGTCCCTACAGAGGGATACTATTTCATCCCAGATACACAGAGGAGGGCCTAGGCCCTCCCCCAAATGATGTAACAGACTTTGATGATAGCTCATGAAGGGTCTCACTATCCTTGGGGAGTGGGCGAGGGGGTGGGTTGAGAGGGTAAGTAGGCGGCATAGGAGGGAAGGGGAATGGGGATTGATATGTAAAATAAGATTGTTTCTAGATAAAAAATATAAAAAATAAAACAAAGTATGCATTGGGGATATAAAATGTATAATCCATAATCTCTCATAGTCTAATAAAAATGGAGGCAGTGAGATCAGCATCTCAATTGGATTGTTCTTAACACAGATTGTTCATTTTAACACTAAATGGCAGTGTACAACTAATAACACATAGTCCTTAAATTGTTTATAAAAGTAGACCAAGTAAGATTACATGAGAGGAGGAAAAAAAGAATTCTGTTCCCCGAATTCTTTTGGCTTTCAAAAAGGGAGAGATGGAGAAGAAAGACGGGAAGGAAACAGGACAGCAGAATCTTATGGCTCACTGTGGGTGCTGGACCCTGTATCATTTTGTAACTTTTCTTCATATTGTTTGTATTTTCCAAATGCATACCGAGCATATTGATTAATGTATTAATTATTGGGCCTTCACAGATTGGAAGTGATTACCAGAAATAATATGTAGAATAAGGCCAGGGGAACTTCTAGGTGAAAATTTACACCTAGGATGTAAAAAAAAAAAAAAAAAAAAAAAAAAAAAAAAAAAAAAAAAAGGACTAGAAAGGATGAGAGAGAAGAAATATACTGAGCCTAGATGTGTGCCAGCACCCCCCTGGGGAAGGAGTAGGGATGAGGGATGAGGTCATCTGAGGAGGGGGGAAGCAAGAATCTGGCTGGACTGAGAGTGAGCAGAAAGGTGTCACAGCGGCTAACACCTCTGATCTGCCCCAGAAGGGGGAGCTGAAGCAGGGGAAGGCGGAGAAGTGGGAGGGGGGAGAAGTCAGGAAAGAAATCAGCTTCTTCATCAGACTTTGAGAGACAGAGAAGGGTAGGCAGGACAGGGAAAACCGGAAAGCTTCATAGGGAAGCTTGTTCCCTATACCAATTGCTTCAATATTATAGGTTCAAGCTCTACACATAAATTAGTGATACTACTTACAAGAAAAAATATGAAAATTTTCTATCCACTTCTGGTTTCTCTTACATCTTCATTTTAAATTGGGGCTGTAATACTTTAGAATACATTTGGTACCCAGCAGCCGTGACACGTCGTTAAAGTAGTGTATTTGTAGAGGCTCGGACTCCATGTGATCAAAACAAAACCACACAAGACTGAACAACGATTTAACTCTTCTCAGAAATGATGTCAGTCGGTGGGGCCCTCCATCCATAGCATCCATCCTTCAATGACACGTGGGTAACATTGCTGGCAAGGAGGCAACTTATTAAGAATTCGTTACCAGCAGTCCCATCTTCACTGGAGCTTGAAGCTTGAGCTGGCTCTTATTCTTCCAGGAATCATTTACTAGACTCTAGTTTCCAAGGTGTCTCGGAGGAATATTTAAAAATATTTTCAAAACCGCTCTCATCTATCCCAGGCTGATCTTAGATAGCTAAGAGTGACCATGAACTTCGGATCCTCCTGCCTGCACCTCCCAAGTGCTGGGATCACCACTTCTTCTGGTGTTCAGGACCGAACCCAAGCCTTCACACAGGTGTAAAGATAACTCTTTCCGTCAGCCGCCTGAGTTCCACCACCATGTTAGGGCCCCCAAATAACATAGAGTCTCATTAGTTACAATGCTGCTGGCCAATGACTAGGACTTCTTATTTGCTGGCTCAGTCTTATTTATCAACCATAACTACTAATCTATATATTTTATGAAAACTTATCAAGGATGCCAGTGGCATGCGTCCTCTCTTCCCGGGATCAAATGACGACTCCTCTTTACTACATTTCCCAGAATCCTCCTTCTCTCCCAGTCCCACCTATCTGGCTTCCATATTGGCCAACAGCGTTTTTTTTCATTAACCAATGAGACAAGCATACACACAGAAGGACCTCCCCATCGCAAGGCACTGAACCCACTTAGCTGCATCTCTTCCGCATCTCAAACCTGTTAAGTGACAGCCCCAAACTCCTCCCATCATGCAAGCAGCCTTTCTGTCAAAGTGTGCTCAGCTCACACGGGATGAGCCAACGTCACTTCACCTATACATCTTGTTTGTGGGGGTTGATGAGACGCTCATGTGTTGGGACGTGACTCCCTATCGGGATAATGTTTGCATTTCAGTCTCACGGTCAGCAGAAAGTCCTGAAGATGTCAATAAAGGGTGATTAGCTATCTGTCCTGAGCACATGTCATGCCCAGCAAGAGCCTGGCTGTAGCTAACAGTAAAAAGGTGTTTTCTGTATGTTTCACGCTCTTGCACAGTTCTTCAGAGGTGCCTGCCTGACTTCTCAAAAATCAATGGGACCTTAGTAACAGAGAGTAGTGTACATCTTAAAGACGGAAGCGGGAAGACCAGAAACATCATGGAGTTCAGGGAAGCTACAAGGTATTCTCCCTCTCTGTGTTGATTTGACGCATTTAGTTATTACATAAAATATTAAAGCACCACTCGGAGTTACGGGAAATCGCTTGTGTAGTATGGTGAAGTACAGGTGTCACTCTAGATTAGAAAGAACGGCATCTTTCAGAGTGGTTAAGCCTTCCCTCATCAGTAAACATGAGGATCTGGTGCAAAGAAAGGTGCTCTTGCCAGATAAGAGAATACAAATCAGTCTGGGCACAGCCAGTCCCCCACTGTTTGTTTGGCTGTATGTGGCACACAGTAGCTGAGATTGTTGAGAAACACATTTCCTTTAATTTGTGCCCGGTTCACAGGTGCCCAGGTGTAGACATTCTCTTTCATAGCTCACCTGCAGAGTTAAAAACAAAATTAAAGGACTCCTGAAAATGATTTCTCTTTTTTTTTCTTAAAAAAAGGGCATAGATAGTGCTGGTGACATAGTACCCCTTCATATTTAGAATTTAATAGCAATGTGAATGAGCCTCAGAAATAGGAAGCTGTGTGAAAACCTATAAAGTACCGATACACGTATGATTCCAAGGACACAAAATGCAGAGCAAAACTCAGTTGCCCGTGATGCAAACACATATCACAGTAGTAGGATAGTGGTTACTTTAGAAGAGGGACAGGCTGCGATGGGGGCTGGTAGGGAAGATTTTGCAGTGCCATTCTGCGTGACACAATAATCTGTGCATACTTTGATCTGTATTACATGATTCTACCACGTGACAGAGACGCAGTGAGAGGGATTAGGACCGTATGCATGGTCAGATCTAGAATTTGACTTCTACAGAGGAGTTTCTGCCATGGTGAGGGCAGACGGTGTGGGCTGTATAAGAATCCAGTCCTGTTTCTGATGGCCAGCTCCTCTGTATAGGGAAATACAGCTACATTTGGGGGCTTCCTGAAAAGACAGTTGATGGGTTGTTATGGTCAGTGAAGAGTCACTAAAGCAGACATTGTCTAAAAGCATGCCTTGAATAGAATCTTGCAAAATACTTTTTATCATAAGAAATTTTTTCTAATATTAACCAAAAATAATTGACTTTTCCCTCACTGAATGAAGAGGCATCACTAAAATCCTTGATGCCAGGAATATTGGGCTTAAGGTGTTTGAAGACTACGCAACTACGTGGAAATGGATTCTCATGTGAGTGAGACTACTCGTGTGTTCTCTAGATGCTTTCTGATGACCTTTGTAGACTCTTCAACTCCCTTGTTCTTATTAAAGGGTGAAAAGTGAACTCAGGCCTCAGGATCATTTTCCTTTCCACATGGGGGTAGGAGCAGGGCAGGTACCCTTGAAAATATGCTCATAAGAACATTAGTTTCAAGTTAAATGTTAATTCACTAGTAGAACTGCTGCAGCGTCTGGGGTCCTGTGTTCTGCTCTCCACATGTCACAGAGGTGGGCATGGTTTGGTTTCCCTGACTTTTTGGTGACACAAAACTTCTATGATTTTCCATAGATAAACAACTTCCCTCCCATTTTCTCCTACCCATTGTTTATGTGTACATACCTCTATGTACACATAGCTACTTATCTTCAACACATCTTCCATGATATATTTTATTTGCCTGGTTCTTTCCTCCAATAAACTGACAACTTCTGTTCTTTTTTCCTTTTTGTTTTCTTGAAACTGTGTCTTCTGTAGCCAGGGTTAGCCTTGAACTAAAGTAGCTGAGAAGGTTGGCCTTGAACTCCTCTTCCTACCTCTACCTCTCACATGCGGGATTAGTGGTGTGGACTTCCATACCCAGCTAAACTATCCACTCCTTAGGATGACGACTGTGTCCAACTTATCTTTATCTCTCTGGCTCACAGTATAGTTCTTAAAACATAGTAGATACACAGCAATGTGCGTTCAGAGGCAGCTATAGAAGTAAGAGTGGAACAAGCTAGATACCATATCTTTAAGCACAGCAGATTTGCTGAATTTGGCTCTGTGTTGTGATGGAATACTAAAAGATCATGTTTAAAAGTTTAGAGCCAGTTTGTGAGGTTTTACTGATTCACTGTTCTACACGTAAATGACTCCACAGCCAAGGTTGCAGCCTGCACTTGACAGTAGTTAAACATGCTTCCTACTGTCACAAACAAATGCCACTAGGTCATTTCTTTAATTCTTGCTCCCTTAGTGTTTGTCCACTCTTTATTAGACACAACTCACCCAACACACACTAAACCTGTGTCCACCCCGGACCTCCTCCCATCCCTGGACCCTTAGCTACTCCCTCTCCTTATTTCTAGCCTTTCTGCTCCAAAATCTTTCATAAATACTGTTTTAAGATTCACTTGGGGATATACAGTAGAGTAATCCTTCGCCATATTTAAACTTTAATCATTAAAGTTTCTATAATTTCAAGAGAGAAAAGGGTTTTGAATTTCCTTCTCCACCAGAGAAGGAACTTCAATACCACACAGTCATCTATCCAGTGACAGGTATTACGTAGGGAACTTAAAAGATGGCATTTGAGACTCTATTCCCCATGAATACAACAGACCCTGTCTGATGCTGACTGGTAGCTTGCAGATTTCATCCTGGTTGTCATTAACTAATAGGAGAGTAGGTCAACTCTCCAGTACTAATGAATTCTCTTTGAGGAGATTGTGTCAGAAGACTCCATTCTGACTGTAACCTGGATGGGGCTAGGGTGGACACATTCCTCTAGTACCCCAGTCAGGCCCCTGGGAGAAACTAAAGCAGAGAGAAAATATTCACTCTTTATGCTTAATAAAGCCAAATAGCCAGGAGACTAGTCTTGACTGCAGGTCATGTACCCAGATCCCTTGGGATCCCAAATAGATGCTGTATGGGGTCAAAATAATTTACTGTGACAATGACTACAAAGTCACAAGTTCAGGAACTGTGTGGCCAGTTGTCTTTCTCATTTTTTCCACATTAAGTCCATTCTGTTTCTTCCAAACAGCTGTGTTCTGGGATGTTTCCTTGAGTCACCAGGTTGTCACAGTTTCACCACACACTTGCTCTTATAATTTAGCACTAAGTAGAAGGGTGTAAAGGGGAAAAGTCAATTTGGAGAGTGTTATTGACAGGTCAAAGCCGTGAGCTGGGGGAGCTGCAGTTTGCTTGAACAGGCTGCTGTAGTCTGGTTTCTGGAGACAGATGTTTGGGGTGTAAAGTGCTCACTGGTTCTCCAGGTTCCTCTTTCATGTGAAGTTCTTAGTGAAAACATTGCTTATGTTTCTCAGAATCATATGTGTTACTCCAGCCAGGTAAAGTAGAATACTCGGGAACGGTTTCAAACAGAAAAGGCTCTTATCATGATGTTGGGGTTATGCTGCACTTAGCACACCTGACTCTGTCTGTTGTGGGTTTTGCCTACAGTGGGCTGACGGTTGCCATGGCACTGAGTTGGATTTTTTTGATACTCCTGAGGTTCACAGCAGGATTCCTCTTCTGTGTCTTCATGTTTGGTGTGCTTGGAATTATAGGATATGGTAGGTAACACAACTCTTAAAATTGCCAAATATCAGAATAATGTCATTAGCAATTATCAGAACCCATTTACTTGCCTTAGGCTTAATTAGTTTAGATCATCAACTTTACAGCATTCATTTAATTTCACATATATCTTCTCCATAACTCTTTCTGTCATTGGTTGGTCTGGTGGAGGAGCCTGGGAACTACTATCCCTGATCTTTTTGTGTGTCCTACCTGATTTCCACTGGAGAGACTAGGTTATGATCCAATCTCTCTTTTCCACCAAGGTGGGAAGGGCAATAAAGTCTGCCATTGGCTTCACTGACTTGTCTGAGATTGGCTGTATAACAGCCTTGACACTGCAAATGGAGAGATGGACAATATATACAATGTACAAATAAAACCATCGGTCTCAGTGGCCTGTCAGCTCCCCAGGTAGTGCTAACCCAACAATTAACTGAATGGCAATTAAGCTTGAAGCCATTCACAGTGAGAAAATGTCCATTTAGGTTGAAAACTGTAAGTCAGTGTGACTGCATGTGACTGGCCTCTGACTGTTTGGGACAACTGATTATTTAGTATGATGGAAAAGCCAAACATTCTTATCGATAGCACCAAATTTATTAAAGCATAGAATAGTGTGGACATGGCACAGTGAGTGCATTAACAAGCTAGACTGTGTGCAAGTGTGTGTGTGCAAGTGTGTGTGCCTGTGTGTGCAAGTGTGTGTGCATGTGTGCAAGTGCATGTGTGTGCAAGTGTGTGCACAAGTGTGTGTCTCTGTGTGTGCAAGTGTGTGTGTGCAAGTGTGTGTGCCTGTGTGTGTGTGTGTGTGTCTGTGTGTGATAATGAAAGAGTCTCACCAAGATGAACAGACTGTGAGGGGCATTGGAGTCTCATGACCCTCCTATGTTCAGCCTGGGATCCTGAAAGAGACCCAGATGCTGTCTGTGTTTGGCGCACACTTTGGCTGCCGTCAGGGCAAATGCCAATCCTGTATAGATGAAATCACCCTCGATTTATGCAAGTGCTCTCAACTCAAAATCAACATCACAGGAAGGAGTCGTCTATGGATATGGACAGAAACCATCAGTGTCAGGTTGAAATGTGCAATAAATCCAGTTGTAGAAAAATGCAGAAATAAGTATGTATAAAATGTTTAATGAGTGAAAGATGAAATCACAAAACTAAGTAACAGAGATGCCTGGGTGAAGATGAACCAAATGGAATTTCCAAAATAAAAATATTGTTAGATTAAAAATTAAATCAAAGCATTGTGACATGACTTGGTGGATAAACACTTGCTATGCAAGCCTGGCGACCTGAGTTCTATCCCTGGGTCCTGCATGAAGGCATAGGAGAGAACTAACTGTACAAAGCCTTGGATCTCCACTCATGTGATATGACACATGCATGACCCCCCATGAATGCACACACACATACACACACTTAAAAATTTGATACATTAAATGTCAAAATAGAGAACCAATGGGCTGAGAGATTAGTAAATCTCAAAGAATGATTTAAACACAGTAAAATGTGACTAAAATACTGTTGTGTGGATAAGACAGAGAAAGAATAATAACCAGAAAGAATGATGCCACACATGTCAGTCGTATTTGAAAGATATAAATCCATAGGTCCAGGAGACCATAGCTAAACCAAGGAGAGTAAAGGAAGAGAAATTCATGAGATCACATGGTCATTTATGCATATTCATCATTTGAGCAATTATGGCACACATTGTGTTGGACTCTTAACATGTAACAGCAGGCTAATAAATGAATGAAGGTCTTCACTTTGTTCTCGCTTGCAGTGAGGTAAACTGCATATTAGACGGTGGTAGTTGTGACAGGAAAGACACACGGCTGTGTGTGTGACGGGGTGTGCTTCCTGATGCCTGAATAGAGAGGAAAGGAAAATGATTCCTCATAGTGTGGGACTCATGAAAGAGAGTGAGCAAAGAAAATTAATTGGCAAACAATAGGTAAAGTGAAGTGAACTTTATTCTTATAAAATAATAACAGCTGGGCAGTAATGGCATGTGCCTTTAATCCCAGCATTCAGAAGGCAGAGGCAGAGGCAGAGGGATCTCTGAGTTTGCAAGGCCAGCCTGGTCTACTGAGTGAGTTCCAGGACAGTCAGGACTACACAGAGAAACCCTTTCTCAAAAAGAAAATGGTGCATTTTTCTTAAGTTAAAATGCATGTAACTAAGATCATTATCTTAGTACAAATAACCAGAATGGAGCTGATCACCAATTGACCAAAGGTCCTTGCATTTCCTTGTTAAATATTCTCTTTGAACTAGATTACTCAGCATGCAGTGTACTTCTAAGAGTGGTTATTAAAATAGAGTAGATGGCAGTACACTAGAAGAGAACTTAAAAACAGAACAGAATGGTACGATTAAAATGTGCACACCCTATTTGGAACTGTATGTTATTTACAAGTCTTACAGAATGTGTAAGGAAACACAACAGTTAAAAGTGGAAGAATTGATTTTAAAAAATAGCAGTTATGAAAAGAAATCTATAGTAGCTAAAATCATATCAAAGTGGAACTTGAAATAAAGCTGTTAGGAACAGAACCAACCCAGTTCACTAAAACAAAACCAATTCTAAATTTGAATGCATCTAATAAAGTGCTCTCAAGATTCATAGAAGTACACAAGGTAAATAAGCCAATAAATAATAAATTAATATAAATAAGGGGGTGCTGGCACATTTTCCTGCAGGACAGATGTATTAAATAACAGTCCTGTTGGTGGGTGTTAAGGTTGCTACAAGCCAGGAGTGCGTTGAAAGTCACATAAATTCAGAAAGCATTTCTGTCAGCCAGAGTAGCACAGTTAGACTGTTGCAGGCAAACACTACTCTGGCTCTGTAGAAATGACCATATTGATCATTTTTATCTAGGTGGGTGTGATAAGCGTGTGGCTTCCACTTCAGAAAGTAACACTGAATATTGGTTCTTTTCTCTTCCTTTCAAGGCATATTCTACTGTTATCTGCAATACATCGATCTTCAGCAGAAACCACAGTCATCCATCCTGATTTACGAACCTGGGCTTAAAGCCACCATCAGCATGTTCTTTCTCTTGAAATACACTTGGCTCTCAATGAGTGAGTAGATTGTAAGAGTCAGTTTTGTTAACATGGTAACAATGAAACAGACTTGGTTCTCAATGACTGAGTAGATTGTAAGAGTCAGTCTCATTAAAATGGTAACAATGAAACAGACTTGGTTCTCAATGAGTGAGTAGATTGTAAGAGTCAGTCTCGTTAAAATGGTTAACAGTGAAGAAGCCTTGTTTGTCCAAGAGGAAGCTTCAGTTTGGTGTACCCTGCTGAACATGTCAATCACTGGTGGTGACTGTAAATGTCCACGAGCTATAAATTGGAAAGTTGTGAATTTATTGTGCAGCCTAAGATAACACTACTTTAGAAGAATCCCAAATTTTAGTTTAAATTGGTTTGATTATGCGGACTTGATTGATGTTACTCTAAGAAAGGAAGAAGTGGCTGATTTTTGTGAGCTTTCTTTAAAAGAAAGAAGACACTTATTTACTTTCATAGAAAAACTTTCAATCTATTTATTGTATGAATTGTGAGAAATAACTGAAAATATTGAGTTATTTAAGGTTGGTAGTAATTTCTAAAGCAAGATCATCTCAAAGATGGTTTCTGGCTTATGTTTCTATAAATGGAGATTCATGTTCGTGAATCTAGGTTTTGACAATTCCTCGTTGAATTTTGGTTTCAAAATTTCCCCTTATTATTATTCATATTGCTTCTTACGTGTGTGTGTGTGTGTGTGTGTGTGTGTGTGTGTGTGCGCACGTGCGCACGCGAGCGCACGCTCGGGCACGCTCGGGCACACGCGTGTCTCGGGAAGGGGTGGAGGAAGAGGCTTGTAGACATTGTCTGATGCCTACAGTTATTACCAGCATGACACCCATCTCCATAAAACTTATTGTTGCCGCCTCATCCAAGAAACTCTGGACATTCAAGGGCAGGTGAGAGTATGTCCACAAGAAATAATATGTCCCAATTATCATAATCTCTGTGTGACCAGGTTTTATCTGGCAGGCACGCCACTGTCCCTAGTCAGAGCAAAATGCGACTAGGTTACCAGTGTGAAGCATTTTGAGCAAAGGGCCTTGTGGCCTATCTTCTCTGTTCCCATACCAGACTTTAGGACACAAGTCTCCACCACACTATTCCATCTGGTAAATCCAATTGTTCTCTTTTTCTTCTTACATAGGGCCTGATGGAGAGGCCAGATTCTTGGGTTTTACCTTTCCATTTTCAACCCTTACCAAAGATAGTAACCTTTGTCTTCATTATTTTTAACTTTTTACCCACAAAAATCTGGAGCTGCATTTTCTTCATGTTTCCTGAATTTGGATGACTCCCCAAGCCTCAGGCATCCACATACCATTGCTGGTCCTTGCCAGAGGAGAGCACTGTTTCCCAGGATTCATTGGAACCTTGTGGCCACTCTGGGAGGGAGCCTAGACACACTGCCCATGCTGGTCACTCTCAGCTGTCTTTGAAGAACTACTCACAAAAATGCCTTGGACATGATCAGTACCTGATACTGGAAAATTGACACATGTGCCTATAGGAAACAACAGAACCTTCTAAACGTTTTAAATCCTGGCAATACCAGTCTCTTTTGAAATGGGCCTCAGGTTCCCACTCTATTTGTCAATTATTGATTGAAACCTGATTGTGTTGGGAAAACATTGGGGTACCAGGAGGAAGAACATACATGTTAAGGTATATTGCTCCAGAAAATCCCTGGAAGCAAGTAGAGTTACAAATCTAAAAACGACCATTTTATCAGCCCTGGCTTGTGATAGGCAATAGCTCACCTTCTGCTTTTGCAGTTAGCTCCATGTCTGACCTTGGGTAAGTCTCAGCCTTAGGCTCACATCTCCTCTTCAGTTATAGTGCCTGCTTTCTATCAAGTATGTTTCTGTTGTATGTTCTTACTCAAAAAACAGGGACTAGAATGTATGAATTCAAAGGACAATCAGGTTTCTCTAATGTAGCCATTCTCGTGCCATTGTATAAATGTGTAAATCTAATATACAATACTTTTGACAAGGCAATTTCATGATGTAGAATATAGAATTCAGAATTTAGGATAATTTTGATGATTTCATTTTCTTAGGTTTGTTCAAGGAAAATGATTTTAGAATATGAGTATGCTCCACAGTTGTGGGCTCAAATTAGTGTTTTAAGAGACTAAGATGTACCTGTAAAATGACTGCATTGTTTAACTAGAGAAGACAGGGACGTACAAAGATTCATTACCAACTCCCTCCCATGACTTGGGGTACCTGATTTCTACAGATGTTCCCTGAAGTGTAGCATAAACTAGGATTTCACATACACCACCTGAGGGAGGCAATGAACACTCATCCCTGAAAGTGACCAATGTGAGCAATACAGCTGCCCAGCAATCAAGGGTGTGGTATCTGGCCTCCCAGGAGTTTGTTTAATACTTTCAGGGTCTCTTGCTCTCAGTACCATATTTCCTCAATCTCAGGGTCCCATGGTATCTGCATCTTAACATCTCTACAGCTTGGCTGCATCTTACAACCACTGACAAGTCATTTAAAGCATTAAAGGCTTGTTGGCATTTTCTAACACTGTTGTGACTTAAAGGTGTGTGTTAGAATTGGGGGAAGAAGGTGCAGTGTAACAAGAGTGTTTGACTTCAAGAATTGTTTAAAAGCAGATTTGGCTATCAGATAAGAAAATGGAGCAAGTGAGGGGTATATACTAGAAAGAGGTAACACTGCTTCACCCACTCGAGGAAGGAAAAAACAGACCAGGGTTTTTCTCCTGTGGCTAGAAAAGTCCCCAGATGATAGGAACAACACAGGACTCAAGATTTCCTCACTTTACAGCAGTTTTCACACATGTGCATTTTATTCCTCAGGACACATTCTCTTCACATAGCAGCTCCAATGGGGTAACAGTTCTATGCATTTCAGCTCACGAGAGTTATAAATCTCAATCCAGCACTAAACTGGATTCTGTTTTTGTGCTGTGGTTTGGTTTTCTGAGACAGGGTCTCCGGCCAGTCTGGTCTCCATGCTTCTGTGTTTAGAATAGCCATGGATTTCTGATCTTCTGTCTTTCTGTGTGTCCATCATCCTATTCCCAGCTTACACAGCGCTGGGGATCAAGCCTGGAATACCAGGCTTGCTAGGCAAGCGCTCTACCAACCGAGCTGTGTCCCTTCATTTTGATGCTAAGAAGTTACTGCCCATGTCTAGTTGGATTGCACCTTCAATCTACTCATAGTTTCTGTGGTGGGGAGGGCCACACAGAATATAAGTGCAGCAGTGTGTCCTCTGCCTAGTCAGCCAGAAAGCATGGTGAGCCAGACACCACAGGCAGTGTGGCCATCTTCACTGCTGCCTTCTCTGGCTGGCCTTCCTCCCTTCCCTCTTCCATGCTCTTTCTCCAGATCTGCAATGCAGGAGAGATGCTTCCATGGGGGAAAACGGAGCAAATTCAGGGGGTGACTTGAAATCCAATGCGGGTTCTGCTCTGTGTTTTCAGCACTTCTTGGAGGGGTTGATACGGGTTTCTAAGACTGGCATTTCGATGGAGGAAGACACTGGTTATATCATGAAGTATCAGAGTTAGCAGAAATGGTCTGATAAACTCAGTCCTAAGCCTGCTCCTGGTGCTCACCTGTGCTGCAGACTGATGTCTTTTCTTGTTCAGTGATCATCTTGTTCATCATTGAAGCCATCATCATCATCGTGCTCATCTTCCTCAGGAGGCTGATGAGAGTGGCCATCACCCTGCTGAAGGAAGGAAGCAAGTAAGGGCTCACTGCTCATGGCAGATGTCAGGCCTCGTGTGTGCACACGTGTGTGTGCATGTGTGCATGTGTGTGTGCATGTGTTGTGAGTGTGCATGAGTATGTGTGTGTGCGAGTGTGTGTGCGAGTGTGTGTGCAAATGTGTGCACATGATATATGTGAGCACGGGGTGTGCATGTGTATGTGAGTGTGTGCATGCATATGTGTGCACATGATATGTGTGTGCATGGGAGTGTGCATGTGTGTGCATGCATGTGTGTGCACATATGTGTGTTCATGGGGGTGTGCATGTGTGTGCGCATGCATATGTGTGCACATATGTGTGTGCATGGGGTGTGCATGTGTGTGTGAGTTTGTGTGCATGCATGTGTGTTCGCATGATATGTGTGTGTGGGTACATGTGTGCCTTCATTGTGTGTGTGATAGTTAATGAACACGTGTATGTGCATGCATATGTGTGCACATGATACGTGTGTGCACGGGGGTGTCTGTGAACATGTGTGCTCATTAGTGTGGACGCCAGAAGTTAACATGGCTCCACGTTAGTTTTGAGACCAAATGTCTCCCTGGCTCTGGACTTCACTGCTCACCTAGACTTCCTAGCTAGCAAGCTCCTGCATCTTCCTGTGTGCACCCTTCCCATGTGAGGTGAGAGGTGACCGCATGGCAGCTCTGTGAGTGGGTGTCGGGAGATAGCGTGGGCTGCACAGCAAGCCCTGCACGAAGTGGACGTCTGCCCTGCGCCCCCCACACCACCAGGACTTTCTAAGGAAGAAACTGAAGAACACTTGTTTAAGTTCAGATTGCACAGGTCAAGGTCACCTCTAACAAGTCCTTTCTGCCCCCAAACCACAGTGCAAACTAACCTGTGCAGTCTTGCACACGCATTTGAACATGTGTATGTTAGAATATGTAAGTAGTGAAGTACAAATGGAGGGAGCTGGCTGCACCATGGCCACCTTACTCCACGGTGGCTCATGTGCTAAGGTTACTGATTGAAAGAATCTGCAGTGCGCAGAATCACTGTAATTCCATGATACCACTGTGTGCTGTGCCTGTGTGCGCATGACAGGATTCCTGTTGGACAAAGTGCTGACTCTCGAGCGCCTGACCATGCATTCTGTGTGTAAAACACCTAATTCAGGCACACTTAATGCCCAGGGCCACTCTCGTTTTAAAGAATGTTGCAAAATAAACCTCTTTCATAAGATTCAGTAATACCTATAGTTTCCAGACTATTCCAAAAGGTCACTGGAGAGAATCTGTGCCGTCAGGTTGTGAATGAGAGAGCAGGGAAAAGACTCCCAGGAAGCCACAGACCCTCTGCTTAGAGCAGTGGAAACAAAGTTGTTAACCACCAAGGACTGAATTATTTTTAATTATCTTTAAGGACTAATTTAACAAAATTGCCATATTATTATAATAATAGCTCCACCTGAAGCCAGTGGTTTAGACAGCTAACAAGCTGTTGGTTAAACTTTCCCCCTTACAATAAATGGGGCCCTATCATTATCTTTGGAAAGTACTGATTTTCTGGATTTATTTCTTAAATGGTACGTTTGTGTCTATTTCACTATAACTCAACTCATTTCTTACAGCCTTTATTGTACAGGTGAGTGTGTACATGAGGTGTGTGTTTGTGTGTGTGTGGTTTGTGAGTGTGTGATATGTGTGTGCATATGGGGTGTGTGTGTATGCATGTGTGTGCATGCGTGTGTGTGTGTGTGTGTGTGTGTGTGTGTGTGTGTGTGTGTGTGTGTAGTTTTGGAGGGCTGGCATCACTGTGATAGGCTGATAGAGTGTGGAGAAGAAAGAGCTGGAATTAGTAGGTTCAGAGTAAAGTTTTGGATTCTTAACAGCTTAAATTCAGATTGTGCAGGAAAGAAGGACAGTGGAGCTCTGCAGTGAGTCAGGCCAGCAAGACTGTGTGAGCAGGCAAGAGTGTGTGAGCAGGCAAGACTGTGTGAGCAGGCAAGGGTGTGTGAGCAGGCAAGACTGGGTGAGCAGGCAAAGGTGTGTGAGCAGGCAAGACTGTGTGAGCAGGCAAGACTGTGTGAGCAGGCAAGGCTGTGTGAGTGTGTGAGCAGGCAAGGCTGTGTGAGCAGGCATTGATGTGGGGAGGTTCTTTGATATTTCTCCTTGGTAATACCAAACAGAAATGTGTTCCATCTGGAGACATAGAAAAGCAACCACTTAAAAGCTGCTTGTGACAGTGTTGCAAACTGTCACCTGGGGAAATGTTCTAGAGGGAAAATCTACTTCAAGGGTCCCTGCATTGTGGGAGATGATAACACAACCATCTCTTCCCCAGGAAGTAGTGGGTGTGAGGCAGAGAAGGGTGGCCTCTCTGACACGTTGTTAAGATGGAGTGAACTATGTCACAGAGAAGTAGCTGCCCACACGGTGCCTACTATAGAGGCCAATGCTGTGTTGAACGCAGCACAGAGGCCTCTGAACCAGGAAAGAAATCCCACACTTTAACACAAGGCCCACAAGGTCTTCGCTGGCCACTCAGAGGGGAGGGGAGCGGAAAGTCTTGTGCAGGAGGCGAACCTGGCACTGGGAAAACCCCACTTTAAAGTGAATGAGTGAATGTCAAAGCCAGCTCATAACTTGCTTCACCCATCACCGGAGGAAATTATCAGTGGCTATTACTACTATTATGGGATCCAATCTAAGGCTTGCGTCTAGTTCTTAATGGACATTTAATTATTGAGAAAGCACAGATCTGATCCAGAGTCTTTTTGAACAATGACTGTTTGCTTCATTTCAGAGCCATTGGCTACATCCCCAGCACGTTAGTCTACCCGGTTTTAACTTTCGTCTTGCTGTCCCTCTGCATTTCCTACTGGGCTGTGACAGCCTTGTTTCCTTTGGCAGCTGACCCTTGGTGTGCAAAATAATAGATTTCATTAAGACACTCTCATGTATATGTGATTGCACTTAGCTCATAAGTGCCCTCCCTCTTCCCTTACCTGACCCTCCCCCATCTCTGGATAACAGATTTCTTTATCTCTAGAGTCCACCTTGCTGTTTGTTACCAGAGCTCGTGTTCATAGTTTTTCACCCCTGTAAAGATGATGAACAACCTAAAGAAGTAACTAGATTAGGTTCCAAGCCTTAAAATTTGTCAGTCAAATTTAATTCCTGCCCTCCAAAGGGGGTCACGAGGTCTGTTCTGTTCTGCTGCATAGTCTTGACAGTAATCTAAGGAGGGACGGTGCTCCCTACCTTGCTGGTTTCTCACGGTCCTCTCAGTGCCGCTGACCGTGATGCACCAGTATCAGCCTCCTAGAGGGTGATCGTCAAGGCATAGGAAGAAGACGTTTAAAAGCTCGCTTCTCCACAGTCTGCAGATTGCGGTTTTCCTGTCTGTCTGTCTTTAACTTAACAGTAAACAGTTTATCCTTAATCAAGTGTGCTCAGTTTCTTGGCTACATCAGGGTTACCGATATTCAAAGTCATGGTCCCACAGGGGAAATGTATACACGAAGACGAAACTTGTGACCCAGAGGTGGGTAAAAGAATTCTGCTATAGGGAGCGCATCAGGAAGCTGATACAGGTAAATCAGTGCAGAGAGAAAGGGGAGGTGTCTTTGGGAAGGCACTGAATGCAGCAGGCAGAGCAGAGCTCCTTGGTCTCTACAACTCAAAAAGACAGTGTGGCAATGAAGACATGAATAAATGTAAAAGTATGGCAGGAAGAGAGATTATGCATATAGATGATAGTAAGTCCTTTCCAGAACTCATTAAAGAAGACTATCAATATGTCAGAGAAGTAACAATCAAAAGTAATGGAAAAAAAAAAAAACAGACAGAATATCCTGTTGGGCCATAAGAAAAAATAAGAACCACATTTAATACCATGTTCTCATATTTTCTTCCGAGGGCAGATATTTCCTAAAAGTCACATTCCCAAAGTCTGCCCCGGGGCGTCATGCAACTTCTATTCCTACGGTGGAAAGAGTGTGTGTCACAGTTACCACCTGATCTTCCAGATCTACAACCTCTTTGCCCTGCTCTGGCTTGTGAACTTTGTCATTGCATTGGGTCAGTGCACCCTCGCTGGGGCCTTCGCTTCTTATTACTGGGCCATGAGAAAACCAGAGGACATCCCCAAGTGCCCACTCTTCATTGCATTTGGACGAGCAGTGCGGTAAGCTCAAACCCTGAACTCCGTGCCCCTTTCTTCAGGCACAGTTTGTGCTCTGTTCTTCATTCTTGGCTAGTGAATCCAAGCGGCAAAGTACTAATGAGTTGAAAATATAATTTGAGATATGTTAGAAGCTCGTGGCCTCTAGTCACACAGCCACAGTTTTGCAATTGCCTGCCCAGGTCCATGTCCTAAATCCCATTGGTTACCGGAGATGAGAAGGGATAGAGTTGGACACCAAAGGAATTAACTTGTGTCCCCATTGGTCAGGCCAAGTCCTCTTCTAGGAGAACATATTATGGATTATAGAGACAAGACAGATAATTGGTTTCAAACTTCCTGTGGAAAGCTCCATCAACTTAATAAGAGATTTAAAAGAAAGCGATTTGTTTCTGCCGGTCCTTTTTTACCCATGAAACTGTTCAAGAGGCACCCTGTACATGTGGTGTGGCTCCCGCACCACGACTAAGTCTGAGTGTCAGGCGAGAGCCTGGAGATTTAATTAAAAGACGAGATGCCCGGCCGTTTGTACTATGTGTGTCTGTCTTCCCTATATGCACTTATAGCACAGAGGGAAAACCCCAGGTGTAAGAGCTCCTGTTTTTGATGCCAGTGGGGCAAGGCTGGAGCTGTAATCCAGGACTAGAAAACAGGATGCACCTGTGATTATTGGCTGACAATCAGCTCACGGAGACCCTGTGGGGTTGGGGCCAACGTCTCCCAACAATGCACAACACCTCACCTTCAGTTGTGTTTTGTCTTCACCTAGATACCACACGGGGTCTCTAGCCTTAGGATCTTTGATTCTTGCATCAGTCCAGGTGTTTAAAGTGATCATAGAATACATGAGCTATCGACTTAAAAGTAAGTTTGCTGAATTGATCAAACACTTGTGTGATAATAGAGGGAGGGGTGGGGAGCCGGGTAACCTGGTGACTGGTGTGGACCAAGGTGGAAAGGGTAGAATTGTAGGGATTTGAGTGTATTTTGAAACACAGCCCAGCAGGGCTTTCTAAGGATTGGGGACCAAGAGGAGGGTGGAAAAGCTGGGGAAGGGAGAGAATCTGGGGTCATCATGGTTGATCTTGTGGAACCCAGGAGAAGCAAATTTCAGAGGAATTGGAGAATTCTGTCATAACACGTTACTGTGGAGGAGCGTGCAGAGATGTCATGTATGCAGTTCCACATCTGCCAGGCTTAAGACAACTGTGAGCCCTGACATCAGTCTTCATACACAGCACACACAGTCTACACACACAGAGAGAGACACAGACACAGACACACACACACACACAGAGAGAGAGAGAGAGAGA